CCCCAAAACCCCAAAACCCCAAAACCCCTCTAGCTAAATAGTATAAAAAAAGAATTTTCCATGGAAATTTTAAACAGATATTGCAAAAATTTAAATAATATTAAAATCTTTTGTAAATATGGAAGGAAGTGATCACAGGCATGTTACCCATGAGAATAAGGGAACAAACGAGCAGAGAAATGAAAATAAAGCATATGTACCCATGGGAGATGCTCAGTACACACCTTAGTAAGTCTTGGAGATGGAGGCAAACAAAGAGGGCAAATATGATGAGGATGGATTCTTTGTTCTTCCCAAAGGAGACTTCATCGATCCTTATGGCTATTATTTCGATGAAGAGGGATACGATGATTTCGGAGGCTATTATGATGATGATGGATACTATGTCCCAGGCGAGGAATATCATGACGAGTACTATGAAAAGTATGATGTTGATCATTATATTCCTGAATCACTTGAGGAGGAAGCTCAAAGACTGGCTCCTTTCACAGAGCATGTGTACCCTGCCATTCAATGGTTGAATGAACAGGCTGCTGATAAAAAGCATGTTGTATAAATCCAAGGTCTCGCAGTTGGCCTAATAGAAGATTAAGTCGCCAAGTTTGTCAATACAAGAATCCCAGAAATCTCTGAGTCCGGCAAATTGACATACCTTAAAGACCCCAAATATAAATCATCAGGAGTGGCATACTTTACATCAACAAACAAAGAAAAAGTTATTAGCTTGCTGAAACTTCATAATACATTCTACGCTGGCAAATACATCAAGACCTACCTTATGGGCTACCCCTACGATTCAGATGAATACTCTGAACACATGTATGATAACTTCAAGGGATAGAAAATGCTTGACGAAGATTACTATGATGAAGAAGTCGATTTGGTTGAGAAATTAGATGATCAGGGAGAAGAATTCACTGGGTAGAAAAATATAAAGCCAGAAGGAGAAATAAAGGTAGATGGTGAATATTAGATTACGAAAATGAAGAAAAAAGCATAATGAAAATAATGAAGAGGCAATTAGGTCATCATTGTTCAAAATATCTTTTAGTTTAAAATTCGTAAAAATATATATCTTTTAAATGCATTCTCTCCTTCAAGCTAATTAGCTCTCGAGGGGTTTTGGGGTTTTGGGGTTTTGGGGTTTTGGGGTTTTGGGG